TCGTTTCCAGTCAGTTTTGCATGCAATGGTTGATTTTGGAGTTGTCAATTGAGTGCAGAATTGAATATAGAAGGTCTAAGTAATGTATAGAGATAAATTAAAGCTTCATAGGTGGTGTTAACTAAGTCTACTTGCGTAGAAAAGTTTGGACAGTAGGGTCTTAAACAAGTAGTTCCATAGTGTTAAATTATGTGATGCACTGTGTTTAATTCTGAAATCTTTTGAGACGAATGATATAACTGGAACATGTATAATTCTATATCATGAGTATGTATCTGAGTTACACTTGTTTAGAATATGGTAGTGTTGAAGAATAATAATTCTTAAATTAACACTAATGGGATTTTGTAAAACAACCTAAACTAAGTAGGTATAAGTACCTAGTGTGGTTCTGTCTTGATGCTTGCATTAATACTATTAGTATCAACTGTTGGAGAAATGGACTTTGTTAATGGTTATCTTAAATGTCTGTAATATCAACTGCTGAGTATTTGAATAATAATTTAAAACAATCTTATCATTATATCTGATTGAATGAAACAACCTAAACTGAGTAAGTTTGTGTATATACAGTGACTATAATTCTTGATGCTTACATTATGTCTGTTAGTATCAGTGTTGGATATAAAACTGAATCTGTTTATGTATATATCTGATTCTTTTTATTGATGCTTACACTATGCCTGTTAGTATCAGTAATGGAAATATGGATTTAGCTGATGTTTACTTTAATTGTTGATATTATCAACTGATGGATGATTGGATAGTATACACCGGTATGGGACGGTGGTATGCTAGGGATGGTTTGGTTTCAAAATACCAAAACCTACCTACTCTGGATTAAGAATTGGATTAACTAAAAGTTAAGTCCTATTAATTGTAGTGTCATGGCAACGACTAGTTGAGCGGCACTACTAGGATTCGGAATGGACTTTAAATATATTGTTATGGTACCTCGATATGAGCTTGAGTCTCAGGATCGACGGTTAGGGAGTGTATATGCATTGGGATGCATATCTGGATACGATGGTTAGAGGTGTACCCTGTTTAAGTATAGGTACATATGCCCACTTCGTGTACGTTTTAGCATGTTACCTCTATTCAGGTTGAGACCGGCCTGTAGTCCAGTGAGAGTCCTTTAGTGTAACTATATATATATTTACGGACTATTAGCTATTGCTGAATTGTTTAGGATGTACATGCGTATCGGGCCTCTGTTTGGATTGTAGTAGTATAGAACTTGCGCGTGAGCCTGACCCACTTCTATTTTTCAGGTACACGATAGTTCCAGGCTTAGACGTGTTCGTGCTGAGCAGAGGTCTCTATTCACTCTTCTGACGATGTAGGGCTCTCTCCATAGTTTTATTTCTGGATGTTTATTACAGTTGTTTTATCTTCCGTTTGGATGTTTAATAGGGGTCCACTAGAGATGGATTCCCGAGTTGTAAACTGATGGAGTTTTGGAGTTTGGGTTTGATGGATTTTAATAATTATAATATTTTGCGAATTCTATTTTTAGTTCCTTTCAGCTTTAATTTCATTTCTTAATTCATTTTGTATTCCGTGTTCATTATAAAATATTAATTGTTAGATATTCCCTCGGGTTTGGGCCTGGGCCTGATCAACCCGTGTCTCGGATCCGAGGGGTATCACATCAGTGGGTGAGGTACTCATGATATGAGATCAAAGAAATAGATGAAGAACTAACCTGGTTTCACGACAAAGCAAAGAATGCAATGAATGCAGTGAAGACAAAAGCAAGTCTTGAAGAAGCTCTTGGGACATAATGGCAATGGAAACTCCTTGAACCGCCTCTTGCAAAATTGGCAACCATGCAACTTCAATTTCTTTTTAATTAGGAGCCGTAGTTCAATTAAAGAGGGAATTGGGGGCAAAGTGTGGAAAGAAAAATCCCCCTCCAGTAAGAGTCGTCCACGTCACTGTAATATAAAATTATACTTTTGATATTTTGATGGATTACAGAAGCCCAATCCTGGTCAAGCCCAAGTTAAATCTCCATTTAGCCCAAGATTGTTAATGAAAAACTTTCAGACCGTCAAGCAAGCTTAGCCGGCCCAAGGTATATTCGGCCCAAAACATATTTTGAGATTAAATGAGTCCTACTAAACGAAAGATCTTACATGAAAGGAAAGTTCTACAAAAGGAAAAGTCTGGAGATAATTGTAAATGGAAGTAACTTAATTAGTAAAGAATTGTACATGGAATGAATTGGAGAACAAGCAAGGCGAATCCTATCATAATTTCACCACCTTTTTTTGTATATAAATAGAGGCTTAGTCCTCCAGAAAAGATCATCGAGCAATATACATTTTTCTCTAAGTAATTATTGTTATTTATTATTTTATCTTGAGTGAGTGGTATTATTTCTTTTATTGAGAGAAATTTTGCACCTACAGGTGGGTTGGTTTTTTTTTTTTTTTTTTTTTTTTCTTTTTTCTTTTTTCTTTTCAACTAAGTAAATATAATACACACATTTCACAAATTGCCAAAGAAAACTTGAATCCCTCCTTTCGGTTTTAAGTATAGATAGGTTATACTATTGGATTAATGGCCATTAGAAAAGTCAAAAAAAAAAAAAAAAATTACTATTATTATTATTATTCTTTTGACAAATTTTGGGTCGGTTTGTTGCACGTTGCGGAGAATAAGAAATTCTCAAGAAGATACAAGTCTTAAAAAATTTAAAGCCAAATAGGCTGATGAAGCTGGGCTTCACAAATTCCATTATTCTAATGAAGGCTCAATATGTTTTAAGTTATGGGTCATCGGCCCACTCAATATCGCCCAACAAATAGAATACAACGGGATTTCCACCATAACACACATTTAGATTGTTAAGCTTACCGCTCAATATAGAGTCTGAAAATGGGACACATTCATGTGAGTAAAGATATTTAACGATGTCATAATTATGATGTCATCATGATTTACATAAAATAATACGTCCTACTTTTGAATTATTTATTATTATTATTATATTTATGAGTTGAGTTACAAAATTCTGGCTATTCAATACATAGTTATTGCTATGGTAAAGATTTCCTATAATGATCCAGGGTTGCTCGGTTGCACCAACTGATGCATAATCTGCCCACCCAAAAGGGCACATTCCAGACATGGTTTGTATGGTGTACGCAAATTATTTACTTTTCTTCATTCTCTACATGTATAGAGACTATAGCCATTTGAAAGGTGCAATTTCCGATAGTGAAAAAAACACGGGTTTCACACATTTCGATATATCGACCTCCTAACCTTTCAAATATATATATATATATATACACGTATCAACCTCCTATACGCATCATAATTTTGTTTCTATTTAACCTCCACTTTTGTTTTCCTTCTTTTACTATTTTCTTTCTTCTAAATTTTTGTCAATGCTGTCTTAGGTTAACAGGCTTCAGTAACAAATCTGTAAACTTTAAAAGTGCAATGATTTGGAACTGTTTTACTCCTAAATATATCCAATTAAGTTTGTCCTAAAACTGTTTTATCAATTTTTGTAACTGATTTCTTTGAAAGGCAATTTATTTAATTGCTTTCTAAATATTATATATAAAAAATTATTGTTGTTTAACAATTTTCTTGTTTAATTGAATGATTAAAAGAACAAGTGACATTTATCAAAGTTGATTGACTTAGCTTTGTATATATGCATTAGATCAATTACCATATTACTTTTAATGATTTCTGAGAATATATATGTATTAGATGACAAACTCAATGTTCAGGATTCAGGAATCAACCACCTTTGAATTAATCCATAATTCAATAGTCATTGGGAAATAAAATAACACAACTAATCATTTAGAAGAGTTCGGATGTTGAAATTTAAAAAAAAAAAAAAAAATGAAAATGAAGAAGAAGATAAATACGTAAGTTCTCACCATATATTTCAGGAACTAGGAAAAAAAAATTAAAAAGAAAAAAGAGAATGATTCGTATTATTCACGATATTTGAAAGATTTTGGAATTTACTAACACCGGAACAAAATCAAGATTTTTTGATGAAAAAAAAAAAAAGAAGGGAATTTTATTCCTTTTTTTTTTGGAACAAAGTCACAATTAAGACGAGAATTCCATGGAAAAAACATTCACTCCATTAATCTTTAAATTTAGCAAGAAATAAACTGTATTTTTTAGCAAAATTACACCAAATACATCTTTATAGCCAATTCTATCTCCTCCTAAATGATATACTATATACAATTATATATATATATATATATATGAAGATTTAGATATATACTGTAAAAGTAGGTGGGTGGCGCGCTCAAAAACCAGAATCAAAAGCTGGGAAAATGCGGGGGCATGTGCTCCTCTCTTTCTGTTACGTTTTGCAATCATTATGATAGCATGTGAAGTGTGAACCAACACGTTCCTGCCTCCTACAAATACTATTAAACAATTCAATAATAGCCTTCCCGGCCACGGCCACGGATCACCACCCTGCCATTTCTCTTGCTCTTTCAAGGTACGGTTGTGAAAGAGTAGGCCAGTGAGTCAACTCGGGCGAGTACTCCCTTTGACTCGGTTGTCTTACCTGTTTACTCACTAATCTGAGTATAAGTCCGATTTGTTTTTCTAATTTGCCGAGGGGTAAAGTTTACAACTCTCCCACGTGGGGGTATAAGAACAGCTTTCTGGTTACTCTTCAACAAGTGTCCGTAGCTTACACGGCATGACGCGTGTATGCCACTTGCCTCCCCTCCATGTATTTTATTTTTAATATTCTGTCTACTGCTATTTCATAAAAATATCCCCAAAAAAACAATCGCGGCCATGAAAATAAAAGGACAAAAATGCACTAACAAATGAGAAAAGGACAATCAACTCAACTAAAAAAGTAAAAAATAAAATTGTCGTAAAATAGGAAGAAGATAATTATTTGCAGAAGACGAGATAAAACTAAAATATAACTCATTTACCCAAAAAATAAATACATAGTAATTGATATGTTAGGGGGAAGATAGACCTGAGAAAAAAGAAAAATTAATGAAATTAAGTGCTAAAAACTAGCAGCTAAATACATTTTATTCAAGAGTTTTCGTAGGGATTTTCTCAATTTTAGATACAACTATACTTATATCATGAACCAGAGCAGCGAAAGAGAGAGACGTAGAGCTTCAATTCATTAATTAAAATTAGTAGTACTACTAAATCTAATTCTAAAAAGAACCCATTGTGTTCTTCGTTTCTTGCGCAATTTGTGTTGTTTCTTCATGGCTTTACTGGAACCCAATTGTAACGACCTTCTAAGGGCACATCCTGCGCAATGTCGTAGTTATATCTGCAAACGTACATCAACAAATTTTAGAGTTGTATATCTATAAGACTATATCTATATCTCTATATTGCATAATTGCAATAATATGTAAAATGCATATGAATGGATTTAAATGATGGCTTAAATTGTGGAGTAAATTGCTGAATTTGTGTGACTTACTTCTCTATAAATCGCTTCTGTTCCTTCTGGATGTCTTTCTCTGCGATAGCAAAGAATTCTTCCAGTTCGGTTTCCGACGGCATGATCTTCTCCGCCGACAATCTTCGGCGAGAATTAGCTTCGAATGGCCTCGCCGTTGAATCCAGGTCGCCTGATTCTTCTCGAAGCCCGCTGGATGGCGTTGTCTCTCTCCTGCCACGGCCACGGTAGATATATGGGAGAGATGGAGTGAGAGAAAGACGTGAATGGAAGGAACTTAATAGCAGATCGTTTGGGATCACTAGTTTTAAGTTTTGAATTGAAGAGACATGGAAAAAAAAGTCACATAAATGTGAAAATTTATACCTTTCTCTGCGGTCGTAATTATACGTCGATGTTTCAACCTCAATACTCTCCTTCTGCCAAAATATATATATCAAATTCAAAATTCAAAATGAAAATTAAATAGGAGGATGAATTGGAGAACAAGAAACGATAATTCATGAAAGAGATGCGTGAAACCGACGTGAATGCTAAGACATCCTTCATACCTCCGGATCTAAGAATTTCAAACTCTCCTCTGCGAGTGAGCTCGATCCGTTACTCGAGCAACAAGATGCCGGAACGTGATCGGAGCTAGGGCTCGAGCACCGACTGTTCGCAACAGTTGTTCGTCGTCTGGAATTCCCTGACGTCGCCGGAGAAACTGAATTGTCTCGTGTTAGCGCAACTTGACCGCGATTTCTTAGTTGAACTAGTGACGGAGACAACTTATTCAATTGTCCACCACCGACCTTCCTCCTCTTAGCTGTTCCCGACCTTGCTGTAAGAGCTCGAGCTCTCGTCCTTACACCGACTTGAGCCACCTCCGAAACTGCAATCTCTCCAATTCCTTTACACTTCTGCATATACTTCCCCATCTCTCTCTATAATCCTCCCTTTCTCTCTCTACACATCTATACTTCAATCGAAGCTCTTTGAATTTCCTCTCTATCTCTACACCATCTTCTTTAACCTAAACGCACGCTAAATTCTTCCATGAAAGCAACTTCGAAATTCATCTTCTTCTTAAGTGTGTTTCAGTTTCTTGTTAGTTTAGAGAGAGAGAATTGGAGAAGATGGTGATCATGATGACGATACCGATGGTGGAGATTCCGTCGAACGGCTCGGATTGGTTTTTATTGGCCAAGTAGTGTGGTCCTAACTCCGTTAACGTTGACGGAAACTATTCCCGTCGTAACGGGAATCTAAACGATTCCGTTATGTATGCTATGAGTCGCTTAGATGAACGTCACACCAATAAGTACACACCACGTGTCCGTGCAAGTTGCCCAAAACTGGTAATAGCCATCTAGGTTGGGCAAATGAGTTTTTATATCTTGGGGACGGCCGTACAAGATACTTAAGAGGATATGGGTAAAAAAGTAAATGACCGATAAACCCCCGAATAGTGCGGTTTGGCTTTTACCAATAAAATTATCAATAATTGTGATCACGTATAATGCTCGAAGCCGTTTTGGTGCGGAACTGGTCCTAAGCATGGTAGTTGTGTACGTGTTGAAATTACTTGCTTGTCCTTGGCGTTACAAACAGATCCTTAGGCCTGCATTGAGGTAGCAGCTAGCAAAAGGACAAAGCACATTCCATCAAATAATTCCTACTACGTTAAACGAAAAATGAAAATAAAAAATTTAATGTATTTACCGTCCTTGATTTTGTATTTTAATAATGATTTCCTACAAATTATTTGAAAGACTAGGTGGGTGGATACATTGAACATCATTCTCATTTAATTTGTTCTAAAGTAACAGTTGAACTCAAGCATTTGTACAGTTGTATAGTAGAATCTCTAAAATTCTACATTTTTAAGGATTTATGGTCTGACTTTAGGATTACGTTTTTAGCCATTGGGATGCATTCTTTAGGATAGCCAGTTTTATGAATTGAATGGTATCAAGATACAATTTATACAGCGGGGTTTGAAATTGAATAAGTGAATTTTCTTTCTCCAATCTTTTTAAATAATTTCATTTTTTTTTTACTGCTCTCTCCTTCTCTATTTAGCTTGAGACTATTTATATTAGTTTATGGATTCAAATCGAGTTTGTGATACGGTTCAAAATTTTAATCTAGGTTAAGTTAAATATATTATTCAAGTTTTATATATTTTATTAACTTTTTGTATCAATAAAAAGGTATTAAAAAAATTCACAAAACTTGAATATATAATCAATGTGCAATTATCCCAGGCATGTTCTTTGGAATCTTTGCACTAGAAGTTATCAGCTATAAATATTTGAAACATTAGATTGAATCCCTGCTTTTGATTTGAGGAGGAATGGTGAATGGTCACTACTGTTACATTGATATTCATGACCTCCATTTTTTTTAATTTTTTTGGGTAAATCAATTCATGACATTACTAAAAAGGCCAAAAAGAAAAAGTTATAATGAAATGTAAATTCATTACACTATCCTTGGGTTGATATTTTAAAACTCCAATTGTTTCAAATTTACGTCAAAATTTACAATACTCTGTTATCATATTTTTTAAGGTTTTATTTGTTAGATGTGGCGGTGAGACCAATCTAATCGATAATCCAACGATTGAAAGGTTCTGAGAGTATTGTACTCATGAGGTATTGTAGACTTTCTCCAAATTTATAGACTTAAACCATTTGAAAGAGAGTTGCATCAGAATTATATAGTATAATAATAATAATAATAATAATAATAATAATAATAAATCATTTATAATAAAATCACACACGTTAGTCAAATTTTTTATTTTTTAATTTCGAAAAAATATATATATTTCATTGACAATAAAAACATATACTCACAAAATTTTATCTAAATTTTGACGAAGTATGACTAAACTATATTTTATCTTTTGACTAACTAATTTGATTTCATTTTCTTAATTTAAAAGCTCGAGCATTTAACTCATGTAGTATGCATATAACTCATATAATGATATAACCACTTATAGGTTCTGAAAATCTTTATTATAGATGTAAATAAGGATGGATAGTATAACTCTCTATAAGTCTAGAAAACCTAACGAGGTAAATAACAATCTCCAGTCAATTGGTTGTTAATGGGGTGATAAAAATATTAAAATATCTTCTTAAAATTAAATAAAAAATAAAAATTTAGTTAATATAAAATTACTATTATATTCTTTATTTTGGAAATTTATATACAAAAGGGAAGGGTATTTTAGAAATTAATAAAGAATAATTTTAGTATTTATTAAATTTAATCAGTTAAGACACATACTTTTTAAAAAATGCATTTTTAACAATAAACATCAAAAAATCCATCCTTATAATATTTTTAAATTCTTGAAGTTGATATACTCAAAGTAAAAGAGGTGCTATTTGCTTAAAAGTAAACCAATAAGTGTCTCAGATACTTGGCCCTAATTTAAAAGACAACTCATTGTAAGTTTGATCAATTGCAGTTGACAACCATCTTACTAAAAAAAGGCCCATAAGAAGAGATGGGAAACACGTATACTGGTCATTTAATCAGGAGCCATAACTGCAGCTCGTTAGGTAAGGAATCCAATGAATGCAAGAATGTGCAGATGTTCCTTCCACTCTCTAAAAACAAGGAGATCGGATGTGTCACATGGAGCATCACACGTGGCCCTGCCTCCAAACACCCCCTTACAGTAAAAAACCATAAAACTCCCTTATTCTAAATTTAGATTTAAATAGAAATCACAACCATTCCGTTTGACTCCGAGACTTGGTTTACTTCTAGTAAAATATATTTTTAATTTTTACTTTTTACAAAGATCTAGGGGCTTTTTTTTTTTTTTTTTTTTTTTTTTAAGTAAAGTACGGCCACATCTCTTTGAGGTTTGGCAAAAGGATAGTAAGAAGAAACTTAATTATTTTTTGAACAAAAACACCCTTAAAGGTTCAAAAATGGATAAAAACACCCCTTTACATGAAAATTTGACCAAATTACCCTTTAACAGCTTAGGACACTTTTTAACTTTACAATTTAATAAATTGGATCAATCTACCTTCATGAATAATTTATGCATAAAAAAAAAAAAAAAAACTTTATATTGTTCACCTTTTTTTTCTGTTATTTACTTTATAAATGTCCCAACTTCTTAAAAATGTAAACGTCTAAAATGATTTTTTGATTCAATACATATATTTTAAATAAATTATATTTTATTATTACTTTTTTTTTCTTTTTTTTTTTTAAATTAAGATGTTTAATTCTTTCAACTAAAAAAATTAAACCAATCTCTTTTCCTTAAAAATAAAAAATATGGTACCAGTATAACTTTATGCATATTAAATTATATATCAAATATTATGCATTTCCCAACATAAAAGAAAATAAGTAATAATATAACTTTATGCATATCTTTGTTTTTTTTTTTTTTCCCTTTGTTTTATTATTATTTTTTTTCCTTTTATGTTGGGAAATACATAATATTAATTTAAGATGCATAAAGTTATATTGGTACCATATTTTTATTTTTAAGGAAAAGAAATTGGTTTAATTTTTTTAGATGAAAGAATTAAGTATTTTAATTTAAAAATAAAAAAGAAAAAGAAAAGAAGTAATAACAAAATATAATTTATTTGAAATATATGTATTGGATCAAAAAATCATTTTAGACGACTAACTTTTTAAGAAGTTGAGACATTTATAAAGTAAAAAAAAAAAAAAAAAGGTTTTTGTTACTTTTTTTTTTAATGCATAAATTGTTCTTGAGGGTAGATTGGTCTAATTTATTTAAATTGTAAAGTTAAAAAGTCTCCTAAACGATCAAAGGTATTTGTCCAAAAAATAGGTAAGTTTTATCTGAGTGTCCTTTTACAAAACCTCAGGGGGTGTGGCTGTACCTTAGCTTTTTTTTTTTTTTCGTCATAAATATTTTATGAGCACCAATCATTAAAAAAAAAAAATTTTAAAAACATTTTGTATCCAAACAAACAGAACCCAATTGTCCAAATACTTGCCACACTATATGGTGGCGCCATGATTATCGGATTTTCTCAATGAATAATAGGACTCTGCTGCAAAAGTATTAGTTTAATAGAATTGCTTAATTACGGTATAATAAACCGTTTATATATAATTTTAATTGAATCAGAATTCAGACTGACTGCCTTGAATATGAACTTCTTTCGTGTCAACTGTCATGTGAAGCCATCGATTAATAATGACATGTACAATATTCTATTGTTGCTAGCTAAAATGCTGTTGAAATCTTGGATAAAGCTGTGATATTTGTTATGTCTTGTGACACTGACATTTTTGGTGAAACAAGCTGCTGTAGAATAATGTTGCCGTCACTTAAGTAAAAAAATATATATATATATATATGAAAAGGAATATTCTTATATGATCATTTTTCACTGCAATACATTACATAACATTCCAAACCTAGTTCTGTAGTGTTGCCATATAGTTCATTGATCATCGGTCAGTAACAGTCAGGCATAACAATGACGAAGCATGCGCGAAAGTAGGGTGTGTACAATAAATTTTTACATAGTTCGGAAATACATAATTCGAACCAATCACATAGGAATATAGGCATTTAATTTCAAGTTAAATGTTCTAAAATAAATATTTTTTTGTTGGGTTATCTAAAAAAAACATTCTTTTTACGATTGATTTATTAAATGTTGTAAGTCAAATTGATCCTGATTTAACACCACCAACATAATCTTTGCATTAATCTCATAAGTTTAGCTATTTAACCAGAGAAAGTTAGACCCTTATTTTATGATAAATAAGAGAGTTAAATCTCATCTGAATTTTTTTTCTCACTACAGAAATGAATGGTGTTTGTGGTCTAATGGGAGAGATGATTATTTTTAGTGGACAAGATTAGTCAGGAGAGAGAGAAAAAAAGAAGAAAGAAAATGAGAAGATATAGTTAACCACGTATTGTATTTGGTATTAATGAAGAAAAATAAAGAAAATATAGTAATTATGTTTGGAGAAATAAATAAAAGAAAAGTATTATAATGAATTTACTAACATACTCTTTTTCATAAATTTTGTTTTTATAAAAGAAAGGGTAAATTTGGTATTAAAAAAACTAGTATTTCCTTTACTTTCCTTCCATTTTCTCTCATTTTTTAAAGACTAACAAAACCAACACATCCTATGTAATTTGTTTCCTTCTCAATTTCTCCAATTTTTTTTTTTTTCCTTTAAAATTTCATACCAAATACAATATTTAATTACCCTTCATTGCCTTTCTTTTCCTTTCAATACCCACAAACCAAACTGGGTCTAAGAAACAAAATGATCAAGTCATGGACTCGTGGCCCTCTAAGTTGTGGAGCCCCACTTTCATTCGAACTTTGATTCTTTTAAGTCGGCCTGTACACTTTTCCCCCTTCATAACAGGGCATTGAACTGTAACTTTCTCGAGAAAGACATTTTCCATCACACAATTCTGTTGAAAAAAGAAACAAAAACAAGTAAAGAAAAAGAAACTTTTTAGACGTGCAATTGGAAATTAACAGCTAGTCTTTTATTCATTCAAACTCAGACAACTAAGAAAAAAAACTTTTCACTAAAGTTCTTTTTTTTTGTTGTGACTTGATAGGTAACCAGTCAAGATACTTGATAGGTAACAAGTTGAGTTTGAGAATTTCTTTCAATCACATTCAGCATTGTTTTTTTTTTTTGAAATTATTTTAGATGATCAAGGATCTATTTGGTTTGTAATTCTAAAAATAATTTTTTATTTTCAGATAACTGTACATAATATTCTGTTTGGTTTAGTTTTTTGAAAACTCAACTATAAAAAGGTCTATTTTCAGATAACTGCATTTTTTATAATTATCTAAAAATAATTTTTTTATTCTCTAAATTTTTCATAACTGTTTTCAGAGTTACAAACCAAACAAATTCTAAATAAGTTATATTCATCATTCTATAATCAAATATAACATTTTTTTCTCCTTTCTTTTTTCTTTTTTTACTAACTCGATCAATTCATATTAATTTTGTTGTTAAAAAAAAAAAAATCATAGTATTTTTTATTCTCGTGTTTTTAGTATTAATCTCAATGTGATTAGTATTAATCTCAATGTGAAAGCAGACCATTCTTCCTTATTACTGCAATTATTAGTCATTCATTTATATATATATATAATCATTATAATAAATTTTCTCCAAATTTAAGATACAAATTTTATGCAATGGAATGTAACTTCCATTTATATTGGGCTAATATTTTTCAATTGTCTTATAAATTATTTTTATTTTAAAATTCTTTATTTTATTACCAGACATCCATCTCAACATTTACATTTAAAACAAAAACACAAACAAACAAACTTATCTTATAGATATATTACTTTTTAATTTTTAACTCCTCAATGTTTTGTCATATAAACCAGTATTGTAATTCAGTAACATAATCTTTATCACCTAGTGTGTAAGAAAAAAAAAGAAAAAATACATCCATAAAGACTGGTAAAAGATTTATCATTCAATTATTCTTATAATTTCCGCTGATTTTCCTTTGGTATCTGCTGCCTCAGATTCAATTATTCATCCAATTCCCTCCTCAAACAAACCACCTTTGAAAAAAGTTCTTGGTTTGCATAATGTCATGGGATTTCTTGCACGAGTTGAAGTAACACCTTAGTATCACACAGACTGTCTTGTTGCGTCAAATCTTAGACCCGTGATAATAAGTAACCTAAAAATTTATATTTGGGAAAGGAAAATGATTCTTAACTTAGAATTTTAAAATTTATATGCCTAGTTTTTGAATTTATTGTTATAAGGGATAGTTATCTGAATGAAAAAGTAAATGTGTATATGTTGATTGAGTGTCAGTCTCCTTTAATAGCTTAACATTTTAGATTGGATTGCAGAACACTAGTTAAGAAAGTTACTATTTAAACCTTATAATTATATAATATCTTTCCAAAACTATCACATTTCCTTCCCTTTCACCATTTATACCAAACACAATATTTTAATCCTCATCCATTACCTTTCCTTTTCTTCTTTTTCCATTGCACAGCTCCTTATAGGCAAAGCGTATATCTTGATCAGAGGGTCCTTCCGTGAACTTTGATTTTCCAATTTAAGGGCAATTTTGAGATCATCTAATAAAGTAGAACTTTTTAATATATTATTTTTTTCAAAAGGTAATAAAGTATAACTTCGCTAAAATTAAAGATGATATGAAATAGAATGGAAACATGGACCAAACATAATCATTTGACCACTTGACATTCTTCTTTTCCTTTCCTTTTATAATGGAAAAAGCTGAAATAAATAAATGTAATTATATATGTATAGATAGCTTATTTGATTAAATTATTTTGGGGAGCACTGCTCCATTTTCCACTTGGATTAGACGTTGCAATGAATTCTTATCGCTCATTTTTAGCTTGTGTCTTACCGTCCTCTCTAATCTCATGTCCTACGTGAGTCCGTACACATTTTCTATTTTTTACTGGTATTGACTCTTAATACATTTTTCATGACACATCACGAGTGTAAATATTGTCTATTTTATTTATTCTCCTTAATATTCATACAGTAACTATTTTCAAAAAGCATTTGCACACTTAAAATCTTTTAAAATAAAAAAATCCCATTAGACTAGAGAGTCGTTGGTTTTAGAACTTAGTCCTTAGAAGGTCCATTTATAGTCATGTAACCAAGAATTAACCTTTATTTCAATTTTGATATACTTTACCCAATTTATTAATGCATATACCAAAGTCCTCGATGGTCCAAGCTTAGCCAGTCTTAGGTTCGTCATATATATAGGGTTTTGTGACAAAAATACCCCTATATATGCTAATAGTGCATATAGCACCCCACTCTGGTCAAAAAAAAAACGCTCACATTTGTGCAAATAGGTCTGATTTATAAAAATTGAACTAAAATACCATTAGGAGCATATTTTATAATATATATATATATATATATATATATATATAAAATATTTTGTGAAATGATTAAAAAGTTCTTCTTCTTCATCTCGCTGGTTGCCGCAGCAGAGAGGGAAGGGAAGATTGGAGAAGACCCGTCATCGCCGGTGAGTCGTAGACTGAACAAAAACTCCAAGTTGTCAAGACCAACTAAGCTGCTGGTGACGTTTCAGTAGATCCAGGCCGTCAATGGTATCGCTGATACCAGCAAGATCAACATCGGGCAGGAGCTGTGGATCCCACTCTGTGCAGCTGCGATGACGTGAAGGGATAGAGCGTCGTCCATTACGGACACGTGGTGGTTGCTGGGAGCTCGGTGGATGGGATTGCACAGCAGTTCAATACCTCCTCGGACATTCTACTGAAGCTTAATGGACTCACCAAACCCAACCAGCTTCAGGCCAGTTCAAGTGTCCATTCAAATCGAAGTGGGCACGTCGTCACCGGAGCTGCTAACTGGGCACGTCCGGCGAACGATTTGCCTAAGGTTTTACCACAGGGAAGGTAGTAACAGGGTAGCCAATGTTTTCTGTTCCAGATGCAACAACATTCTGGGCATAAAATTTGTAAGATACTCCGGCCCCATAAATAAATGTTTAAATTTTCTAATTTTGAATATATATATATATATGTATAATTCTTGTAATTGAATGGGTATATTATTCAGATGCAAGTGCAAAACAACGACCATAGATGGGTGGCAGCAGGAAGTTTTGGATATGTGAGTCTTGGAATTAATCAATATTCTACAATTTATAAGTATATCTATCTATAATATTGCAGTTGGGAGTATTATTGATTGGTTTCAAAAAATTTGAGCAGAATCAAGCTCCGTTTCTGGGATGGAAACTTGTGGTATCGGATTGTGCTAGAATAATTCAACCAGTTTGGAATACACAGTGCAATACACAATGACAGAGGCATCAATTTGAAGAGGCTCACTGATACTGACATTCATTGAATATGTAATTTTATATCCACAAACTTTGTATTTGTCCAATTTCATTTTCATCAAGTGAGAAGTGGTGAAAAATTATTGTTGTACATGAAAGAGCGTTCAATTGAACTGTAAGGAGAGAAAACGCATACACACGCACAAAGAAAAAGAAGAATAATAAAAAGTAAGGTTTGGTAGGGATATTTTGGAAAAATTAAAAAGGTAAAATGAGTATTACATTAATTTAGGGTGTTTACGTACAAATTAAAAAGAATAGGAATGTTGTTTGCACATTTTTTAAATAGAGGGTAAAAGTGTTATAAAAAATATACTTTTTTTGTACTCACCTCTCTCTCTCTCTCTCTCTCTATATATTGTGTAAAACATAAGAGCATTTAGGTAAATTAATCAGTAGTAATAGTAATTAGCAGGTTCTCGTTTGCCTCATTTTCTTATTAGAGGGGTTTTTACAAAACTTTTGTATGTTATAGGCTGTATGTATAATAATGAAAAATTATTAAACCGTCATAAATCATTAATATTTGATTAAATTCACATTATTAAATTGAAAAAATAGCGCCACAAGGGTGTATTAATATATTAAAAAGAAATCTCAAACATTGGCTATCTCTGGATTAGTAATCCATCAAGTTTTAAATGGACCAACAGTTTCTCTTAATCAAAGGTATTTTTTACAATTTACCCAGGAAAAACTAAGCAAAGCCTAAAATAGACTTTTCAGAATTGAATGATGACAAAATCGTCCTTTTAAATTGACAACAAGGCAGAGGAACAGTACGGCGAAATGAGGAATTGCGGAGGCTGTAATAACCCAACAATTCGTGTGTGTGAAAGTTTGAGACATCCCAACTAAAAAATGGAACACACAATTCTTTAATTAATCAAAACTTGAATTCCAATTAAATAATTAAACTACTAAAGAACAAGTGATTGGTGTTGTTTGGTTCAAAGTAAAAAGGTAATCGTAATAATGGCTTGTGAGTTGTGTGTGGCCCTTAAAATCAAACATTAAAAAAAGAAAAGAAAAGGTGAGATTCCTTTGAATTATGATAATAAAAAAAGTGCAAGGGACAAGCGCATATAGTTTTATGGACCTTATCTGAAGGTCGGCACGGAAAACTAGAGTAGATTTTGCCCTCTATGGCCTAATATGAAAAATTACAAAAGGAGGAGGATAACATGAATGATTAAAGATAGATCAGAAAAATTATAGTGTTCCCTATCTAATCCTATATTTTTTCTATAAACTCAATAATTTGTTTGTTTGAATTTGGTTATTGAAGTTGTGGTGTGTGTGTGCGCGCGCGTGTGGGTGGGTGGGTGTGGGGGAACAGTGCATCATTTTTTGGCAAAATGCCACGGAGGAAGGGTGCACTCGGTCTTATTTGTACACTTGCAGATTAAATCAGAACTAAATTGATTTCAACGGTTTTTGAAAAATTGAAATTAAAATTAGAACTGAAATCGTCAGACTTAAGAATTGAAAGTTTTGAAACTTCGAAACCATTTTAAAACTTCAAAAACCATCTAAAAAATAATATTTCTATTAAAGACCTCCCAATTAACCGGAACTAATAGATTTGAGAATATAATTCAAAACAAATGCAAACTCTCAAAATTCAATGGGGACACTAACCGTTGGGTTATCGAGGCTTCTGCCAAGTAAATGATATTCATAACTTATTATTATATAAATGCTATTATTAATAATATAAATATATTTTTAGTTTATAATTTGGTTCGTATTAATTTATGGATTCCAATTCTCTTTTTTGCACCTTACATATGGAGGGTTTAAACTTGTATTTTACAAATTTAATTAATTAACCAGCTTAACTATGCTCCAAAAAAACAGTTCTTTTTAATAGGGTTTCAATTTGAGTTAAAGCCATTATTGAACCAAAAAAATAAAGAGTTACAACATTTATATCAACGAATATATAGAGCGCTTATGACCATCAATTGTACGTTCCCCGTATGGAAGGAGAGTAGTAATAATCTGCTGTCTCACATATATATATATATATAGAGAGAGAGAGAGAGAGAGGCTTTCCCTCTCACATTTATATATATATAGAGAGAGAGAGAGAGTTACGTCAAAACTATAAATTAAGTGGTGGTGGATCCAAGAAATTAAGATAGACTATAATTTGTATACATATGGATTGGCTAGAAATCATGAGGACATATTTAGCGGGAAAAAAAGGGTTGAGGTTTTGGCATATCTTTATGGTACTGCTAATTAACAGTAAAAAGATGTAATTAATCTGATGGAGTAGTCAAGGGGTTGCTTAAAGACATGGAAAAGAAGATAGAGAAAAAGTGTAAAAGAAAGTGAGGAATCTAATTAATTAGGATGGAAAGGAAGTGAATACGCAGAAGATATGAAACGAGGCAATTATAAGCTTTCATTGTCCCAGACATGTTTTCTGTGATAGTGGCTCAAATGGTCCTTTCAATTTCAAAAGCTATTCATTTTCTTTCTAAAGTCAGGCAGGCCTTTGGCTTTTGGAACAGACATTTTCGGACCCTCTTCTTTTAAAAGTAAGACTTTTGTGCCTTACTTCTTTCCGTCTCTTTTAAGCTACCAATAAATATACATGTATATATATATATAGGCTTTATAACACACACACACACACATATATGTATGGTTAGACAGCTCTTTTTATAATCTTAATTCAGTCAAACTCGTTTTTCTTGAGTCACCAAATATGTTTGGTGGATCGTGAGTCACAATCATAAAATGGGTGATGAAATTAAGAAAATGATTTATATAGTTCAAATTCAGACTTCCGGTCTCTTTGTGGGTGTTGGCAGAGTCCGAATTTGACGTCTTTGTCGGTGAAATTAATTCCACAAGCAAGATGTTGTCAGCTGTGCATCTCAAGTTACAAAAAAATAAAATATATATATATATATATATATATATATATATATATATATAATGTTTGAAGGGGTTTTGGTAACACTATATAATAAAATAAATACAGGTGATATCTAAGATACCAATAAGAAGAAAACAAAGAAGGAGCTTGATGAAGGAAGAGAAGAAGACCGATCTTACGAGATTAAGATAGAAGTAGAAAAAATATACATTTCTAATGGCAATCCTTTCTGTTTTCTTCATATTGGTACTTTAGATATCACTAGGGATGACAACGGGGGCGAGTTTGGGTAGGTGTATCCTCTCCCGTCCCCGCAACCATTTAAAAATTTCGCTCCCGTTCTTACCTAAAATCGCAAAAATGGGAGGACTTTTCACTCCATTTCAGCAACCGTTTAATATTTTTACCCTGTGGGTACCCGCCCTGTCCCTTTTAAGACTATAATTTATTTATTATTGAAATAGATTTACTCTTTTTTTCCTTATCTTCAATTCTTTATCATTGCAACTTTCCTTCTAATCAAATTCATTTTTTACTTTAATATTGTTATATAGGGTACTTAATATATATACTAATGAAATAAAGGTACTTAAGTAGTTTGTCTATCTAAACGGGGCGAGGCGATACACGGCCCCACACCAAATTCGCGCGGATTTTTATTACATCAAACCATTCCCGCCCAAATAAGCTTAACAGTCCCCCAAAATGGCCAAAAAATGGGGCGGGGCAGGACAGGTAATGGCGAGGGCGGGTCATATTGCCATCCCTAGATATCACTTGTATTTATTTTATTTTATAGTGTTACGAAAACGAACCCCTACATTTTGGTGACTTCGTTGGAGACTTAATGCCTAGGTGCACTGTGAGGCTCGAAGAGGCTTTAAAGGTTGAACCTTCAAGTCTGAGCAACCTCGTGTTTTGCTAAGGTTTGTAATGCTTAAGGTCTGGGCTCTCAAGGCTTAGTGACCTGGTGTGATACGAGGATTTGGAATGCTCGAAGGTTGGCTCCCAAGACTTAATGACCTAGTGCGCTACCAGGGTTTGGGTCGCTCGAGGGTTGGTCCCTCGAGGCTTAATGACCTGGTGCGATATTAGGGTTTGGGGTGTTCGAGGGTTAAGCCCTCAAGACTTGGTGACTTGGTGCGATACCAAAATTTGGTATGCTCGAGGGTTGAACCCTCAAAGCTTAATGAAATTTTTTGACTTTTCAACTTGCTGTGAAGTCTTAGTTAAGGGGCTGTGTTGATTTTTTAACATGCCATGTCAGTTGTTGGTGATTGACACCTACAATGTTTTATCAATAATCTCAAGTTACAAAATAAATATATATATATATATAATGTTTTATCAATACATACATATAAGTATACCTGTAAACAGTGAATTAAGTTATCCAAGTACAATTAAGTAATTGTAATGTTATCCAAAAGCTGAGCTGCACATTATGTTCGGAAATTCAAAAAAATCAATTAGTTGTGGTAGTTGTGTGGATGTAAGTTGTCCTAGGTGACAAGGCTTGAGTCGCCTAATTGGAAGTGGTATTAGTTTTGATTGTATCCATAATCTGGGTTTTTGCTCCTCTCCCCTCCAATTAAAATGGACTTTGTCAAATGGATCATGATACATTAAATAGAACATGTAAATTAATGAAAATTTTCTTGCTGCATATCTTGCCCCAAAAGCAAATATAATTTAAGAAATAGTTAATTTTCATTCACCATACAACATCTGCCAAATCATATTTGATATGAGAAATATTTTTTTTTTTATTTTATTGACAAAAAACTAACGCATCCTTCTATACTTATAACTACTCGAACCCTCACTTAATATTTTAGACAATAAAAAAAAAAATCATCACTACGCTACACAGTATTTTATTGAATTTGTGAGAATTATTTTTATAGCGGACTTTAGTACAATCAATTTGTTACTTATTTAATGCGAAAGGATTTATGGGTGATCATTACCCAATTGGGTGGTAGGAAAGGCAATCCCAAATAAAATTCAAAATAGACCTTGTTGCGTTTTCAATGGGGGCCTAAATAAGTCTTGGATCGAAGATGAAGCACATGGCATGGCACAGCTTGGTAGTTTGACGGGAAATGTGGTCCATGATCCAAAAGATGCAACAGATAGGGCGAGCTCAAAAGGCCTTGTAAATATGGAAGATTGTGACAGGATTGGATGAATAGGAAGAAGAGGTCATTATTGGACCATGTGTGTTGTGCAAAAGGCCTTGTAACGTTGTCGCACTTACAACCTGTGGTCCATTTTCTAACTTGCCACCATTGTCTAAGCGGACAAACATGTCTTTGTCGTTTGCTCAACTAAACATCTTCCTAGTTCTTACTTTTTATCTTTCTTCTTAACTAAGG